ATAAAAAAAAAAAAAAAAAAAAAAAAGTGCTATAATTGTAAGAACCATGCACCAGATTTTGAAGACTCAGAATGAAAAAAAAATCAAATATATCATTTGTTGCTTTTTATATTAATTACATATCAAAATAACCTTTTGGATTATTTGATTAGATAAAATATGTTATTAAAATACATTGCACCTGTTTCTTTGTACTGTGCAATTTCTTTAATGTGGCTACTAGGAACCTGAAAGTCACACACGTGACTAGCGTTCTGTTTCTGTTGGACAGCGCTGGCAGGCAGGATAACCTTCATTTCCTGTACAAAACCAAGACCAGTTTCTACAGGACATTCTTTGCATTTGTCCCATCATGAAGGGGGGCTTATTTACATCTATAGGGGAGAAATGCTCACAAGAGGGAAAGAGAGCCTCCAATCTGAGCCAGAAGAAAAGCCCTTCCAGGCTCTGCGTCTATGACATTGGGGCTGTGATGAATTTCTGACACTCCCTAAAGTGACAGCAGGAAGGTGCCAGCTGTACAGGGTCTGGGATAGGATCCTATCAGAACCCTCTGGGGGCTGCCCAGTCACACTGTCCCTGGTCCCCTGGTCCTAGAATTACTATAGTCCCTCTCAGGACACCTGAGAGAATAAAGGACGTGTGTGAAGATGAGGACAACCCCTGCCTGCATAAGTCAGGACATCACAGACTGTGTCACACGCCACGGAGGGGCAAGGGGCGGGTGTGATCACCACCAGCCCCATTTTACAGATGGGGGGGGGCTGGGAGTCAGTGTGGCTCTGTCCAAGGTCCTGGAAATCAGGCCCCTACTCAGACCTGGTGGTGACTCTAGTCCTGTCCTTCTCACTCCATCTCCATATAGCTGCTAAATATGCAAATATGTAGAATATTTTTTTTACAGCATCCTCTGTTCCTGCTTATAAAAGCAAAATTCTACCTTTATCTTTGCAGAAAAAAATCATAGTGGAAAAAGGCTGAATAAACATTTTTGTATCAATTTCGAAATGACTAATCTGGATAAATGATCATGGCTCACTTCTAGTTCTAGTGAAAGAATCTTTTGCATCTAATAGGTAATAAATAAGTAATTAGAAGACTGCAGAAAGTCTCCTTAGGAGTAGCCAGCAAATCAGGAAAACCTGTCACTGAGAGAAGTGGATACAAAGTTACTGGGGCCAGCGAGTCTGAACAAAAGGGGACTGATTCCTATGAACACTGCACCTTGTAAGCGTCTAGAGTCCAGAAAGCAATGTGAGCGGGGAAAGAGGAGATGCACTGAGCCACGTCTTCTGGTGTCTTGTTTGGCTGCACACATGTTCACTAGTTATCATGAGAAGGACAATGGAGACCTGCTGCAGCCCCGGTTTTAGGGGCCAACCCACCTTCCCTACTGGAATGATAACAATTGCAGTGACAACCACAATAACGGTAACAACAATAATACGATCTTTCACTTATACAGTGTGAACTATGAGGCTGGCATTATTCAAAGCCTTGACATAAACTAACTCAATCCTGATAACAACCCCGAGGCAGTTCCTATTATTCCCATTTTACAGACAAGGAAACTGAGGCACAGAGTCAAATGCTCCCTAGGAACCCCTGTGCCCCACACGTCACAGGCATCATCTTATTCCATCCTCACAACCACCTATGAGGGACACATTGGGGCTTAGAGGGGTGAGGAAATTTGCTGGAACTAATAAGAGGAAGAGCTGGGATCACAAGATCAGCAGGTAATATTGCTTCCTCTACTTTAGGGTACTGTTCTTATGACACCCGCCATAACCCAGCTTCGCAGAGGAGCACATGCAGGTACACCCTGCCAGGTGTCCTTTCTGAGGGGACCCTCGCCGCTGTGAGTGGCTGCCAAGGGCCTGTGCATGTCCCTTCTCCAGGGACCAGCCGTGTCCAGAAATGCCCCCGCTTCTCCCCACAGCCGATCCCTGACCGAGGCTGGAGTGCAAAACACACCCCCAATCCATCACTTACACAGGAAACCGCCCCAGGCTCTGCATCTGGGAGCCTCACCTCAGAGGCCGACGGGCTTCACCAAGTGCTAGATGGCCGAGCTCTGGACTGCAATCAAAGCAGCTCAGAGGAAGCCCCAGAANACGGGCTTCACCAAGTGCCAGATGGCCGAGCTCTGGACTGCAATCAAAGCAGCTCAGAGGAAGCCCCAGNGGCTTCACCAAGTGCTAGATGGCCGAGCTCTGGACTGCAATCAAAGCAGCTCAGAGGAAGCCCCAGAACCGATAGGTATTGGCTTTTTAAATAAAAGTACTTTTGCCCTTTAAAAAAATGACCCCGCATTTTTTCCTGAAGTGCCTCACGATGAAAGCTAACACCGTTTACGTAAAAAAATCAAGTACAGGTTCTGAAGAGCACTTACTTCACCAAAGAAGCCTTGCGACACAGTTTGTCAGCCCCCCTGTAGTAATTCACCAGCTGCACCAGCCCCGGCTCGTGACCTGTGAAGGAAAGGGAGAGGCTCAGGAGGGGGCCAGGACCCCGCAGCACCCAGGGGCAGGGGAGGGAGCCGCTGTGCCACACCCAGCTTCCTCTCCCCCTTCAGGACCCGGGGTTAGGAAAGCAACAGTGCTGCCCCTCGCCTCAGCACCCCCTGGCACTCAGCCTCCCACAGCGGGTATTACAATACCAACATCACAGAGGGGCCTGTTTCTTCTTCGCAGGGTGGAGGGGTGCCTTCTATTTCACCCCGCCCTGGCTTCATATACCGACTTATGAGTTATCTCTGTTCAGTAAGGACCTCAGCAGAGTCACACTCCCGACCGCCCAGCCTCGCTGCCTACAGCCGTCAGGGAAGGCGGCAGAACGTTTGCCCCTGTCGCCCAGCGTGTCTGCCTCTCAGGCTCCTAAGGAAGCCACCAGAGGGTGAGGGACGGCAGTGGAGAGGCCATATCCATACAAGCTAAAGCCTGTGTGGACTTCCTTCCGTCCATCGCCCCGCAGGGAAACTCGTTTTCAATAGATCTTATGGCTAGTCCCCTCCTCCATCAAATCAGAGAGGACACAAATAAAAACAAAAGCCTCAATTTTGTTTAAAATCCTACATGAATTTCCAGCAAGAAAAACAAAAGTCAAGCCAAACAAAGGGAGTCGGCGTCGAAGCTGCCAGAGGTAAGGATAACTGATCTGAGAACGGCGGGCAGTCGGACAGCAAGTTTCAGGCTCTGCCTGGCTGTCACCGGCTCCCTGGCTCACCCGGCGGCCCGGGCATCCCGGGCCTGTCCCCGGCTTCTCCCTGGGCTGCGTGCAACGCAGGGTAAGCGAAGGGAAGATGGGCCTACAGCAGAGGCATCAGCCGCTCCGGCTGCGGGGTGCTGCTTCCTTCCCCACAAACGCCCAGTGTTCACGGCTCACCCTCCGGCTTTGTGGGGCCCGATGCCACCCTCCCGGCTTCGGCCCGGGCAGAGCCAATTCTCTGTCTTTAAGGCTGGGACCCCAGCGAGGCCTTGGCAGCCAGGCGCTGCCAGGAGGAAGGGCGGCCGCCTGGCAGGCGGGGACCGAACAAACGCTCCCAGCTGTGAGCGGTGTCTTCCTCTCTGAGGGAAGGTGTTTTCTGTGCAGAGGGCTTCTTGGGGAGACCGTTAACAAAAGGGGATCTCCAGGCCAACTCCTCATATTCCAAGATTTCTGGGGGGTTAGAACCAGCCCCACCACGCACCTTAGACTTGTGTAACCCTAAGAAGTGGTGCATGGTGCCAAGCCCAAGAAAAACTTTCAGGGCTGCACACGCCCCGGTTCCAAGGCTCCAAGCCCACCGCTGCCAGCTGGTTCCAAACGGCCGGCGTCCAGTCTCTGCCCCGCACCCTCTCCACCCCCGACCACACCTATTTCTAGAAACTGTCTCCTCTCCTGGACGCCCGACGCTGCTCTGCCCGGTTGCTCCCCTCCGCCCCCCCCCCCAAGGCAGAGGTGGCTTTTCTTCAACATCGGTTCTCCGCTGGGGTCCTCGGCCCCCACCCCGGGGAATTTGGGCAGGAAACAAACACGGCCACCAGGGCAGAAGCTGCAATTTCTGGTGCCTGCGCAGCGAGGAGAGGCCACGAGGCTGCGCTCGGGCCAGTGGGACGCGAGCTGAAGTCCCCGCACAACTCCCGGATTACGTCACCCGCAGGG